ATCTGAGCCAACATTGAGCCTTGTTGGCTTGAATCATGGCACTGACTCACTCACTGTGTGCAGGAAGATGAAATGTGTTGACTAGCCAGGCTTAGGTCACATACTAGCCTTTGATTAGAAGGTACCATGAGCCCACTTGAACCACATGGCTAGACTGTGAAGGAAGCGTGGTGCTCTTCAAGAAAATTGAGGCTCCGTTATCAGAAGAAGTAGCAACAGATGTTGGAAGAGGAAGAACACAAAATGTGCACCGCCTTTGGTCAACTGACTCTGTCCAGAGCCTGTCCATTATGCTACTCTCCATCTTTAAATGAAAGTAGTAGTAGCACACTCATGAAAGGCAGAAATGGTAGCATGCAAATGCAAGAAGCAATCAAATGTTTCACCTCTGTTTTTTCCACTCGTTGCTCTTAAGAAAAACCCTCCTTCATCCCAGGTGCTGAAGGGTGCCTGGATACCGCTTGTTATAAGAAAAGCAGCTAATGAATTAACTTACTTTGTCTTTACAATGAGTCCTAACTTCTTCCTGGGTCAGCTACTTTCTGCATATTTGTTCCCGGGCACTGAGTTCATGCCTCTATTAAATCACTTACAATCTGACACCACAATTTATCTATGTGCACCTGTGTTCCTCAAGGGCAGGCATTCCTTTATTTATCTCTGTAACACTTACCTCAGGGCTTGGCACATTCCAAACACTGAATAAATGTGGGTTATAGTTGCAGTAATGATTTAAGGCAAGATTCTCAAAATGAGTTCCCAAAACAGTGCCTTGTCAAATGTTTGACCAAGCAAGTTTCCTTGATCACATAAATTTTGCAAATACTGTGTACCACAAGACATCCTAGAAATCCATGATTCGGGTATTAGCATCTTAGGTGCTCTGATGTGTCCTCTGTTTAAGAAAATTTTTGGATTTTGTTTAAAATTGTTTGCAGTATTTATAATTTATTTTAACTTAAATACTAATATCCAATGAGATCCATATTCCACAGAAGATATCTGAGGAAACACTGTTTGTTTTACCTTTTGGGGGAATATTTTGTTTTGCAGAAGGAATTTGCAAAAGATAGTACTTAACGGAAGAAAACAGCACTCTTGCTCACTCACTCATTCATTCAGCCAGGCTGCATTTTCTGTGTGCCTACCCCATGCCAGAAGGACTCTTGCCTTCTAAGAGTCTATAATCTAGTAAATGGAAACAGGCAGGTACATTTTTAACACTAAATCATTTTATTCTTTTTAGAATGGAGTAATTCCTTAGGCATAACAGAGCAGGGTGAAGGTGGCCATAAAGGATCCCGGCACACATCACTGTGGAAATCAAGTGATTGAAAGACTCAGGAATGTTGATGGGAGTTTGCTTATTGGTGTTGGAAGGAAGGAACGAAGGAAGGAAGAAAAAGGGAGGAAGGAAATTGCAATCAGCAATTCACACATATTGCCCCTGAAGCTGCATGCTACCCTCTGTGTTTCTTTTTGCTCTTTCTGCCTGCAAGATGGCCACCTTCCACTGTGCACTGAAGCTTAGAACTCTCCAGCTGAGGCCCAGAAAACAAATAGCACCTGAAACATTGTAGGGATCACAAGGGAAGATAATGTGAATTCCACGCAATTGTTATTCACAAAGGCAGCTATTTTCTGTTTCTGCTCAGACTCTTAATCTAATTTGTAATGGAGTACAGATTTGGTTCATGAAATATTTTGATATGGTATGAAAGATTTCACCAAACATAGTCACTTATGTGTTTGGCAATATAAAACTATACAAAGCTCAGTTTCATTCTCCCTAAAGTAGCTTGTCCAAAAACCAATGTATGTGTGTGTGTGTGTGTGTGTGTGTATACACACACTGAAATTAAAGCCATGTTGCCTTCTCAGATCTTTTTATTTTAAGCCAAGTCATTTAGCATATCTGTTGATTTAGTAAAATTATTGATGACAGATGCTTTGTTAATTCTTCAGCTAAAATGCTTTAAGGTGTATTTTTTTTAATGCATTTAGGGCTTTCATTCAAACACATTTCCTACATACTTACTCTGAACCAGGGAGACCATTCTGGGGCTACAAACAGAATGACACAGTCTTGGGCCCAGTTCCTGTCCACACTTCACCATCAGGTGGGAGAGACCCATGATCATAATATAATTTGGACTTCTGTATGTCTAGAAATACAAACCAACAAAAACCTAGGTAAGTCAGAAAAAACTCAAAAAAGGATGGACATTGAGGCTAAACTTTTTTGTGTGTGTGTGAGGAAGATTGGCCATGAGCTAACATCTGTTTCCAATCTTCCACTTTTTGCTTGAGCAAGACGGTAGCTGAGCTAACATCTGTGCCAATCTTCCTCTATTTTGTATGTGGGATACCACCACAGCATGAGCAGTGTGTAGGTCTGTGCCTGGGATCCAAACCCACGAACTTGGGCTGATGAAGCAGAGCATGTGAACTTAACCACCGGGCTGCCAGGCCAGCCCCTTGATGCTAAATTTTGAAAGATAAGGAATACTTTAAAAATTTGTAATTTATGGAGGATTCATCTTTGACTATGACCAAAGGAAATCTCATTTTTTTTCTTTTCCATAGAGCCACTCTAACATGAATCTCTGCTTTAGTTTCTACCCTGTCATGAATTCATTTAATTTTCTTGCATTCCTGTGTCACCACAGGGACTGTTCTATGTTGGCATACTGGTGTGCTTGTCTACCTTGGGCATTTAGTTTATTTCATTCTATTTTGACTTTTCTTGAGCACCATGTGGCTCCAATAAACAAATGCAACTTCTTCACTGTTTCTGACAGATTTGGTGTCATTAAACCAACTCATGGAAATGCCATAGGAGAAGTTATACCCTTTTCTTAAAAAGGTTTCAGCCTTCCCAAATCTATGGGATACAGCAAAAGCAGTTCTAAGAGGGAAGTTTATAGCAATTCAGGCCTACCTCAACAAAGAAGAAAAATCCCAAATAAACAATCTAACAGCACATCTAAAGGTACTGGATAAAGAAGAAAAAACAAAGCCCAAAAGCAGCAGAAGGAAGGAAATAATAAAAATCAGAGCAGAAATAAATGAAATAGAGACTAAAAAAAAAAAAATAGAAAAAATCAATGAGACCAAGAGCTGGTTCTTTGAAAAGATAAACAAAATTGACAAACCCTTAGCTAGACTCACCAAGAATAAAAGAGAGAAGGCTCAAATAAATAAAATCAGAAATGAAAGAAGAGAAGTTACAACAGACATCTCAGAAATACAAAAGATAATAAGAGAATATTATGAAAAGCTGTACACCAACAAATTGGATAATCTAGAGGAAATGGATAAATTCTTAGAAACATACAACCTTCCAAAACTGGACCAAGAAGTAGAGAATTTGAATAGACCAATCACCAGTAAGGAGATTGAAACAGCAATCAAAAACCTCCCAAAGAATAAACGTCCAGGACCAGATGGCTTCCCTGGTGAATTCTACCAAACATTCAAAGAAGACTTAATACCTACCCTTCTCAAACTGTTCCAAAAAATTGAAGAGAAGTGGAGGCTTCCTAACTCATACTACAAAGCCAACATTATCCTGATACCAAAACCAGATAAGGACAACACAAAAAAAGAAAATTACAAGCCAATATCACTGATGAACATTAATGCAAAAATCCTTAACAAAATACTAGCAAATCAAATATAACAATACATTAAAAAGATCATACAACATGATTAAGTGGGTTTCATTCCGGGGATGCAAGGATGGTTCAACTTCTGCAAATCTATCAACGTGATACACCACATTAACAAAATGAAGAATAAAAATCACATGATCATCTCAACAAATGCAGAGAAAGCATTTGACAAGATACAGCATCAATTTATGATAAAAATTCTAAATAAAATGGGTAGATAAGGAAAATATCTAAACATAATAAAGGTCATATATGACAAACACAGCAAGTATCATTCTCAATGGAGAAAAACTGAAAGCTATCCCTCTAAGAACAGGAACCAGACAAGGTTCCTTGCCCACTTTCACCACTCTTATTTAACATAGTATTGGAAGTCCTAGCCAGAGCAATCAGGCAAGAAAAAGAAATAAAAGGGATCCATATTGGAAAAGAAGAAGTGAAACCGTCACTCTTTGCAGATGACATGATTTTATATATAGAAAACCCTAAAGAATCCACCAAAAAAACTTTTAGAAATAATAAATGAATACAGTCAAGTCACAGGATACAAATTCAACATACAAAAATTAGTTGTGTTTCTATACACTAACAATGAAGCAGCAGAAAGAGAAATTAAGAATACAATCCCATTTACAATTGCAACAAAAAAATAAAATACCTACAAATAAACTTGACCAAAAAGGTGAAAGATCTGTACACTGAAAACTATAAAACATTCTTGAAAGAAATCAAAGAAGACACAAAGAAATGGAAAGATATTCCGTGCACTTGTATTGGAAGAATTAGCATGGTTAAAATGTCCATACTTCCTAAAGCAATCTACAGGTTCAATGCAATCCCTATCAAAGTTCTAACAACAGTTTTCACAGAAATATAACAAAGATCCTAAAAATTATAGGGGACAACAAAAGACCCCGAATAGCCAAAGGATTCCTGAGAAAAAAGAACAAAGCTGGAGGTTGTAGCCACCCCTGACACAGGAAGGGTTAATAATCACTGGAAAAAGCTTGCCAACAAACTGTGACCTGGAGGTGAGAAGGCCGGTTAGCCAATGACGGGTAAGACCCCCGCGCGGCGGAGGGGGGGGGGGGGGGGGCAACGTAAGCCAGGCGGCGGCCACCTGGGGGCACAGATGGAGAAACGATATCGATATTGGGAGCAGGAGGGACCGTTGCATAAGAGACCTTGCCTGCTCCAAGATAAAAATATAGGAGCACAGCAATAACATGATAATATCAAAACAGAGGCCAAGGGAGGGCTCCTTGAGAAATCACTAAGAATTCTTGGCATTCGCTAATTACTTCATCCAGAACACCTGTGTATGTTTAACAGCTGTAAGCTATGTATATATTGAAACGCTGGTTATAATAAACTCAGAGTGGCCATCAGCTCTCTCCGCCTCTATCCTGATGTGTACATTGGATTGCGACACCGACATATGGTGACCCCAACGTGATCCAAGATCGGCGGCATTATTGGTGAGTAACGATATGGGGGAATTTCAATCGCCTTTTGGCGGTCCGCCGTGAGAATGATGGGCCAACAATTGGCGATTCAGCAGAAATTATGCTTTAAGACACTTCAGCGGCTGCTGAAGGTAATTTCAGTTTCGCTTTCTCCTTACGAGTTACAGAGGATATTGCTGGCAATATCTCTAATCAACCGTGACTTGGCATCGGGAAACTCGAAATGGGGCACGCTCCCCAGTGCCCTGATAAATCAAATTTGGGGAGCTCTCAATCAGCAGGCTGACTCTGTGTGAATGATTTAGTGGCGGCCTCGTCAGGAAGTGCCAGAGTGGATCTCATGGCTTCAGAGACAGTCGTCATAGATTGTGTTGATGAAACCTTTCTTGTTCCTACCAATGTATGGGGACCTTTACAATCAGGATATTTTGGGCTATTAATAGGATGCTCTAGCTCAGCTTTGAAGGGCTTAAACATCATTCCCGGGGTAATTGATGCTGACTATCAAGGTGAAATAAAAATCATGCTCCGTTTATCTAGTTATTATGTGATAGAAGCTTTTATGAGGATAGCTCAGTTGGTATTAATACCTTACTTGTCCCCTGCTCACGCCTCGATTTCAGTTTCGGTTTCTCCCACCGAGTTACAGAGGATATTGCAATATCTACACATTGCCCCTGGTTCCCTGAGGATGGCACCTTGGACATTGAGTTGTGGGAAAGGGCTGGCAAGGTACTAAAGTCTCGCTTTGAGCATGGCCTTTTAAAATCTTTAAAGGATGTACATATCTTAACGACTTGGGGAACAGTATGTACTGCACTGTTCCCTTTGTGGGATCTATCGGCTGAGGAAAACTCGGCCTCTTTCACAGGAGCGCCCTTCAGGCAAAGCTGAGGAGACGCTGCCACTGCCTCCTCCGGCTTGCTAGCCGTCAAGAGACTCTTTTAAAAAGGTCGTTAGTAAGTCTCAGACAAATTTTGAACAAACGTCCTCAGACGATGATGATTTACCATTCCCCCCTCCTTTAGAGAGGCATTTCGCCTTCAAGAACCCTCCTGTCTTGCCTACTGCTCCTCCTTGTGCTCCACCAGCCCCGTATGTTGATTCCAGGCAGTATAGTGTGGTTCATAATTCCCTTCGGGAAGGATTAAATCGTGGAGATCCTGATGTTTTTTCCTGTGCCTTCCCTGTGATGGTCAATCATGGGCAAAGAAAACATGAATCCCTTTTTTTTGAGGTGTTTAAGGAGCTGAAAAAGAGCATTAGAGAGAATGGAGTGCAGTCACCTTTCACTGTCGGGATGCTAGAGGCACTGGGAGCCAGTTATTGTATGCTACCCTGTGATTGGCTTTTGCTCACAAAGACTCTTTTGTCGCATGCTGAATATACTCTTTTCAGGTCTGAGTATAATGAGATATCTGTATCCTGATCTACGGATAATCGATCTTTAAACCCCCCTCTCCCAATCAGTGCCGACATGTTACAGGGGGTCGGCCAATATGCGACGCCTCAAGCACAGGCTGAGGCAAATGGAATGTTGCATAGACAATGTTCAGAGGTGGCATTAGCAGCCTGGAAGGCAACTCCCCCTTCAGGGGCAGACAAAGCCACCAATTCCTTTATGAATGTCCGACAAGGGCCAAACGAGCCATACATAGAATTTATTGACCGTCTCCAGCAGGCAATTGAGAGACAAATAGCTCATCCTGAAGCAGCTCAAATTATCCTGTTGAAAATAGCCTTTGAAAATGCTAATGCTGATTGCCAGTCTGCTATGTCTCACCTTAAAGGGCGAACTCACACCTTAGGGGATATGCTGGAGCGTGTCAGGAAGTAGGAACTCATAGTCATGTGGCCAAAGTAACGGCAGCACCGTTTTCGCAGCTGCCCAAAGGTGCTTTTTGATAATGCCTGTTTTAAGTACGGAAGACCTGGACACCGTGCAAAACAATGCAAGTCTGGTCCAAAAGATATCCCTGGTAAAGGAGGGCCAGCCGATATTAAAAAGCCACCTTCTAAACCATGTCCTCGGTGCTGAAGGGGATTCCATTGGGCGAATCAATGTTGCTCTAAAATTAATGTAGATGGTAATCTAATCAACCGTGACTTGACATCGGGAAACTCGAAACGGGGCACACTCCCCAGTGCCCCGAAAAACGAAGTTCGGGGAGCTCCGCTGCCAAGAGGGGGACCAGTGGCTTCGGCCACACTGGCGACGGTGCTTTATAGTCTCGCCCACTGACCTCCCCATTGGCCTAAAAAGCAAACCTCTGCATCTGTACAAGGTGTAGGGGGGGCTTATGACACCTGAGGGAAGTGATCACGTACTCAAAGTCAGAAGACCTGAAAACAGAAGTGCCTTAATTACACCCTACGTTCTTCTAACTCCATACTCCCTATGGGGATGACAAATAAAAATGGCAAGCAATAGGATATATTGGAGTATATGAGGAAGCCATTTGGTATAAACCTAATTCCGCCTGACTTTGTTTTGCCAAAAGGGCCTGACTGTGGCCATTGAGCATGCATTGTATATCTGTTTAGACATTTTGAGATAAAGGTGCAACTTCCCTCCCCCTCCCGACGTTAGCATCTCCTTAAGGATTAAGCATCTTTCTTTAGTCTGGGAACTGATTGTAGCACTCATCTGTGACCGCCCAGCTTGAGGCAACAGACCTGCCAGCCTGCCGGGTTCACTGAGACAGCAGACCTATCTGCCGTTTCCATCAATGGCTGTGTGGACAGAGCAGCCTCCTGACTATTGTAAAAGGGACATTTCAATCATATGTGAAACATACTCTTTGAGGGTATATAACCACCCTGTGTACCCGCACTTCTTTGGAGTGCTCTGTTCCTTTGCAGAAAGACTCTCCCGCGTTATAATCCTCAGATTTAAGCTCAGAATAAACTCACCCAAATTTTCATTTGTAGATTGCTTATGGATTATTTTCCTCGACAGGGGTGAGATTTGCTTTCTCAATGGAAAATATCTCTAAACGTTAAGCCTTTTTCCTAGGGGCCACTGATGTTATTAACATTCCTCCCATACCTATTCAATGGAAAACTACCACGCCTGTATGGATAGATCAGTGGCCCCTTCCAAAAGAAAAATTATAGGTTTTAAAGATGCCAGTACAGGAGCAACTAAAATTAGGCCATACTGTACCCTCAAACACCCCAGTATTTGTGATAAAAAAGAAATCTGAAAAATGGAGATTACTTCAGGACTTAAGGGCAATTAATGCTGTCATGCAACCTATGGGGGCTTTACAGAAGGGATTGCCAAACCCTTCTTTAATACCTGAGAATTGGCAAATTGTTGTTATTGACGTTAGAGACTGTTTCTTTTCTCTACCTTTGTGTGCCACTGATAGGGAAAAGCTCACATTCACTGTCCCAGTTTATAACAATCAAGAGGTCCCCCAGAGATATGAGTGGAAGGTCCTGCCTCAGGGCATGAAAAACAGTCCTACCATATGCCAACAGTTAGTAGGAGATGTGTTATTAACTTTTCGAAGCAAATACCCTACTATACAACTTTACCATTATATGGATGATATTTTATTAGCAGCACCAACTAAAAGTTTTTCATTAACAGCATACCTACAATTAATTGAATTGCTAAAAGGCAAAGGCCTGCTTATGGCTCAAGATAAGGTACAGTTTACCTCCCCCTGGAAATTTCTAGGATTAATGATTGATAGACACCTGGTAAAGCCATGCATTCCCTCTATTTCCATACCCAATACTTTAACATTAGTTACATTGCAATAGCTTTTAGGAAATATCAGTTGGATACGTCCTTTTCTTGGCATCCCGACACATTCTCTGAGTCACTTGTTTTCCTGCTACATGGTGACTCTTCCCCCTCTTCTACGCGCACTTATCCCTGAGACAAAACAAGAACTAAGCCTAGTAAACAAGGCTCTAACCTCCCAATTTTTTTTTTTTTAGGCATTTTTTTATTGAGTTATTGATAGGTTACAATCTTGTGAAATTTCAATTGTACATTAATGTTCGTCAGTCATGTTGTAGGTGCACCACTTCACCCTTTGTGCCCACCCCCCACCCCACCTTTCCCCTGGTATCCACTAAACTGTTCTTGGTCCATAGTTTTAAATTCCTCCCATGAGTGGAGTCATACACAGATTATCTTTCTCTCGCTGGCTTATTTCACTTAACATAATTCTCTCAAGGTCCATCCATGTTATTGCAAATGGAATGATTTTGTTCTGTTTTGCAGCTGAGTAGTATTCCATTGTATATATGTACCACATCTTATTTATCCATTCGTCTCTTGATGGGCACTTAGGTTGCTTCCATGTCTTGGCTATTGTAAACAGTGCTGCAATAAACATTGGGGTGCACAGGACTTTTGGGATTGCTGACTTCAGGCTCTTTGGATAAATACCCAGTAGTGGGATGGCTGGATCGTATGGTAGTTCTATTTTTAGTTTTTTGAGGAATCTCCATACTGTTTTCCATAGTGGCTGCACCAGTTTGCATTCCCACCAGCAGTGTATGAGGGTTCCTTTTTCTCCGCAACCTCTCCAACATTTGTTGCTATTAGTTTTAGATATTTTTGTCATTCTAACGGGTGTAAGGTGATATCTTAGTGTAGTTTTGATTTGCATTTCCCTGATGATCAGCGATGATGAGCATCTTTTCATGTGCCTATTGGCCATCAGTATATCTTCTTTGGAGAAATGTCTGTTCATGTCTCCAGCCCATTTTTTGATTGGGTTGTTTGATGTTTTGTGGTTGAGTTGTGAGAGTTCTTTATATATTAAGGATATTAAGCCTTTGTCAGATATATGACTTGCAAATATTTTTTCCCAGTTAGTGGGTTGTTTTTTTGTTTCAATCCTGTTTTCATTTGCCTTGAAGAAGCTCTTTAGTCTGATGAAGTCCCATTTGTTTATTCTTTCTATTGTTTCCCTTCTCTGAGAAGACATGGTGTCCGAAAAGATCCTTTTAATACTGATGTCCAAGAGTGTACTGCCTACGTTTTC